TGTTCAATAAACTAATTTGAAATATTTTATTGAATTAATGGTAATCAAAATAAATTAACAAAAATAAGAAAAAATTCTAAAAATACATTTTTTATATAAAACTTCTCTATTTCAATATTTTTTATTTAAATATTATTTATTTAATTTGTTTGTTCTTTACCAACTTTTGCAATTGTACATTATAATTTTTTCACAAAACAAAAAATTATTTTTAATTTCTGATTTCTCAATTTTTAAGTTTTATTTTTAAAAATTTTTTATTTAACATACGAAATTTATTATTTTTTCATTCTGTTTGAAAAAAAACATAATTTTAATTAACATAATATAAACGTGTAATATAATTAAAAATAAAAACAAAATGTTCATATTTTTTAATCAAAGATATAAAAAAAAGAAATTAATATCAAATTTTTTTAAATGAAGGAAAATTCCAATATTAAAATCATATAAATTGAAAACAAATAATATTAATAAAATTGTAATACAAATAATTTTCAATAATACTAGATAAAGATTAAATTCTTATTCCAGTTTGTTTTTTTTTTTTTTTTTTTCAAAATATATTTCATAAAGATTTTTGATCTTAAATTAAAATTAGCATTTTTATTACAATTGTTCTCAAATTTTATTGAATGAAAAATAAGGTGAAATAAAGAATTTTTTCGTGTAACATGAAACCAGCAATGTTCGAACAGATTTGCAGAACAGATCAAATTCTAATACTCGCATAAATACAAAAAAATTAAATTAAATGCTTCTCAATTAAGAATAGCTAATTTAATATTATTTATTATATTTATTTTTCCATTAATTTTTTATATTTTTAATTTTCGGTTTTTTTTTTTTTTTTTTTGTTTTTGTTTTCTTTGAATTTATATTTGATTAGGCCGCATTTTTCGCATGCTTTTATTACATTAATTTTTATAGGACTAATATTTTTTTTTTCAAATAGTATCAATAAAATGGATTCGTTTAATATTTTCACTTAATTATTTTTCATAGAAGATATTTATCAAAAATTCATATTTTGGTTTTTTTTTGTCTGTTTTTTCGAAAAGGATACAAATTTTTTTTTGTTTCTTATTAAACATTTTGATTAATTAAGCTAAAGAGAAAAATTTTTTATTTATTTGATTTTTATTTTGAATTAATTTTAATTAATTAATTAGATAGGACTAAACAACCTTTTTGTATTTGTTTTTTTTTTTTTTTGTTCTTTTTTTTTTTAATTTTTGATATATTAAATTTATAATATAGCGGTATAGTTATATATGTATAACACAATTTTACACAATTTTTAATAAAACATTAATATGAAAATTTTAAATACAAGAGAGTGAATTAATTTTTTTTTTTCGAAATTCACATAATTATTTTTTTTTAATAGTTATTTAAATATTATGTATTTCGTCGATAGCATAATAATAATTTCTATAAAATATTATAGATGAAAATTTCGAGTGCGTATTGTTTTTATAATAAAATTATAAAATTAAAGTAATATTCTAATTTTGTTTTCAATTAATGTTTGCCTTTATAAAAAATAAAATGTTCGCATATTGAAATATTTAAAAATATTAAATATTTCAATTCGAATGTAAAATAATGTTTTATTTCCAAAATCATTGAATTTTTAAAATTGAAAAACTCTTGAAATTTAAAAAAATCAAAAGGTCATTTTAATATTTTCTGTTATTGATTTTTAATTGAAAATATTTATTTCGGGTGAGAAACGAAAAAATACAGAAATATAAATAATTTTATGTTTTATAGTAACTTAAAGAAATTTTACAACTTTATAGTAAAAAATTAATTGATTTAATTCTATTATTGTACTTTTTTTTTTTCATTTTATATTTCTACAAAATTAATTTAAGTTTAAATATGGCACAATTAATTTATGAGATGTAAAATTTTCTTCACATATATATAAAAAATAAAATTAACAAAAATTAAAAAGAAAATTTTAGCCTTCATTTATGGAAGAACTGAAATACAAGTGTCAAATTATAATTTTTAGATTTTTATCTTTAATTACTGACAAATAATTTGCCAGCACAAAAATATTTTCCTTTCAATGAAAAAATATACTATTTTCAATTTTCCAAATATTTAAAACTCACTCTTTAATTTTCGGCTTTAATATTAGTTAAACTATTTGGCAAATATACTTTTATACATATATATAAATGTATATAAATATGTGTACATGCATTTCTTTTCTTGTAACATTTAAAAATTCATACAAATTTTTTTTGTTATTACATAAATATAATCTACCTACATAAATATTTTATAAATTTTTAGTTTTTATGTTTTTAATTTTAAAATTAATTTCTTTTAATTTTTATAAATTGTTTTGTTTTTAAATAATTTATTTAATGAAACAACAAAAAAATGTTTTTGCTTAATAAATATTTTGAAACCAAAATTAAATTTGTTTTTTTTTTTTGTTATATAAAAATATTTTTTTTTTAACTAAAATTCAGGCAACGTATTCGTCGTTTCGTAAATAATGAACCTATGAAAATATTCTATAATATCATTTACATTTCATTTTATTATAATATTATTTGATAATTTCGTATATTTCGGAAAAAACTACACAATAAATTATTTCAAAGGTTTTTCCAATGGAATTCAGGGAACTTTCATTATGAGGACTTATATTACAAATTATTGATTCAATTAACAAAAATGTTTCTTTCATAGAAACTGTTTGTCTGGGTATGTAAATTAATTAAAATTTATAATCTCAAATATAAACTAAATTAACTGAATCAATGAATATCTAACCATATTCTATTAAATACATCACTTGAGATAATAAGATGATATTCAGTTCAAGTAGATTTTTAGTCTAGAATTACCAAATTTTTTATTATTATCGCATGACAACTGACATGGCTCTAAAAGAATAAAGATGAATTATGATTCTTTCATTACGTGCAAAAACAATGCAAATTCAGGTTTATATCATCACATTTGAAGTGGAATTTCATTATTTTTATTAATATTATAGCTTAGAATGAAATGTAAATGATATTCATAAATTATTAAAAATTATTTTTAATTTTTAATTTTTTTTTTTTCAATTTAATTACATTTTATATGTATATTTATTGATTTTAACTTTTTTCTTTTATTATTAAATATTTAATTTGTGGAATATGCTAGGAATATATAGAAAGCTTCATACAATATCTCTATTTCTATGCATTTGACCTTATGGTAAAATTTCTGTATGGACATTAAATTTTCATCACATTACTTTGTTTTAATTTTTCTCTTATAATTTTTTAAACTTTTTGATATACAATAAATTATAATTGTATTTTGTATGTCGAATCAATTATATAATATATTGATATTTCGATTTTTTTAATTTCTTATTTTAATATAATTTGATTTTCCAAATTTTATTTATTTTAGTTAAATTTTATATTTAAATAACAATTTTTTTTTTTTATTGATTACATGAAATATCATGAATTTTCCAAAAATAATTTTTATATATCTACAATATTTTTAAAGTTTTCCGTATTATATTACTATTAGGCGCTCTAATATAAAGATAATTCGATTTAGGTAAATAGTTGTTCGAAACTTTTGTTGTGAATCTCAACTGAATTAATGTTTTCTGTTTAGTCAATTACTAAGATTTTTCAAATATTATATAAAATTTGTTAGCATACTTAAAGCAGTTAACATTTTAAAAATATTAATTATGAATTATCTCAAATATGTACAAAGTTTGTATTTTACTTAATAACTTGAAAAGATATTTTGTTTTATGTTTTCACAAAAACTAAAAAGTGGAACACTATTTTCATTCTATTTGTAGATTCTGGTGATTTATATAAAAAATCATAATTTTTTAAAATTTTATAAAATATATTATATTTTTTACAATATGTGGTTTAAGAATCTAAAGCAAATATGGAAGTTTAAAGTAAAACTCAAATTTAGTTGGCAATTTAATTTCTTTTCAGTCAAATAATTTATTTTTGTTTTTTGTAAGATATTTGGATGTTAAAATGTATACATAATATAAGCAAAATAAATGTGATTTATTGTTTAATTAAGTTACTCCATTATTTAAAATTTCAACAAACTATATCCGTAATAGTGAGGAATTGTAATTATGTACCTTTAGCAAAGTACGTTTACAAAAAACCAATAATTAAGTTTTTTTCTCAAAAACCAAATAAATATTTTATGTATGATATACAGTAACATTAATATATATAAAACCACAGAAATTTATATTTCTTGCTTTCAGGTTAAAGAATAAAAAATTATTTTAGTTAGGTTAAGAAGAATTATACAAGTACTTTAGTTTTCCAAATGAATTCGTATTAGAAATTTGAAATTTTCAACAAAATGCATTGAAAAAATTCAGATAATATTTCGATTCTATATAGATTCAATTAATTGAATCAAAAAACAAAATTATTTATGTATACAATTTTTTGAAATTATGTTTGATAACTACTGACCAAATCTATACTTTTCTAATATATTTCATATATGTATGTAAAACAAAATTTATTGTACACAGGATTTTGTATATTAATATTTTCTGTAAGTCATTTACTTATATAATAATAATTTCTTTTAAAGCTCTTTAGTTACATTACCGAATTTTTTAATTATTTTTTATATATTTATTTAAATATTAAAATATATTAAATTACATATTTATTATTTTAATATAATAATATTCTTATGTTTATTTATGAATATACCGGAATATATGTATACTCTTTTTCAAAATATTCAAATTATATTTTGAAGTTTATTTTTAAAATTCGAAATTTTTAAATATTATAATATATTTATATATATTTATATATATATATATATATATATATATATATATATATATATATATATATATATATATGTATATATTTATGACTAACATTCTAAAATTTTAAATCTAAATGTAAATACAATAAAAGGTATTTTTATCGATTTTTTTCCCTATTATACATTTTAATTGTTAAACATGATTTTAAATAAAATATCTAATATTGTATGTTTTTTTTAATACATACATTCTAAATTAACTAATAATTTAATGAATCAGTTTTGACTAATATTACTATTATGTCGTATTGAAGATGCTGCTGGATCAATATAAACAAAATAATTATAATATCATAGATGTTCATTTTGTCTGATTTCATCGAATGAATGCTCTTGCACATAATCTTTAGGAAAATATCCAACCTAAAATTTAAAAATAATATAATTATTCTATATACATATACAATTAATAAGTATAATAAATTTAAATTGAAATTTAAAGTAAAACTAATTTTTTTAACTACTATAATTAGTCACAAAATTATATAAAAAATGTGGTTAGTTTTGTATAATAAATTTAAAATGCCACAAAAGACTTTAAAAATAGAATTTGTTTTTAAAACATACTGTGTCTCCAATTTTACCACGCCACCATCCTTTACTATCACCATCTTTTCCAATAACTAAAACTTGGCAGCCTTCTTTTAATTGTAATTGATTTGAACCTCTTGGTTCAAAGTCATATTTTGCAGTTGCTATAACTTCTTTAAATGGCCATTGTAATGATTGATTTAAGCTAAAATAAAAATTTAAAATAATTTGTAAATTACCAAACAAATCAATATTAATCTTTTGTCTTTTTTCTTACCCAGCAAAATTTTCGCCCAAATCATTTCTTTCATAATACGATACTAATTCGACAATTGTACGAAAATGACGTCTTGAAGACAAACAATATATAACCGTATCACCATCTTGTTTTTGATTAATTTTCATATGTTTAATGACATGATCATCGGTTTTTAAACTAAGTGCATACATTGTTTCATTTGGATTAAGGGCGCCTTGGGGTCGAACTCTTAATAAATATGTTCCAATTTTACTAGTTTCCAATCTAGCAGCAGCTGTATCACGATCCATTGGACCAGCAAACCTATATTTAAAAAACAAAATATTATTTTTAAAAAACATACACACGTATGCATTTAAATCTATTTTTAGTTTTAAATAAATTTTTATAGTTTTTGTCTTGCTTTAACGACTTAAATAATTGAAATTTCGAGAAAGCCAAGTTGAAAAACAACACATTTATTATATTTTATTTAAAACTAAAAGTAGATTTCTTCACTTTAGACACATACTGTATATAGTTATAGTTTTATATAAATTGAAGGGGGTATTAAATATTTCATACCAATTATATTCAGATAACTGACGATCACATACTGGTGGTGGTAAACTAACTGGATTTTGTTTACATCGACCTGTCGATGATATACAACCTTTATGTACAGCTATTTCACAAACTCTACATCGATATCCTTGATGTATACGTCCTTTTAAAAATTTTGAACAATGTCGACAGATAACAGGAACTTCAAATGTTGTTATATCAAATTTATGATTCGTACTTCGGCAACCGGGTGGATCTAAATTATCTCTAAAATTATAAATGCAAAAAAAAAAAAAAAAATAATAAAGCATGTTAAATTAATAATACCATATGCACAATGATGTAAAAAGTCTGTATATGTATACTTACATTGCCTCATTGAGAGCTTTACACCACTTATTTCTTTCTGTTTCCGATTTTAAATATAATGTATATGCAGTCCTCTTTGATTTATGAGCCAAAAGTAATTGACATTTAAAGCGTGTATCCCGTCCTAAAGTTTTTCGTGTATGAGCAAATTCAACACGATAATCAGATAAATTTAATGCATCCCTATATGTATATTGAGTTTCACCAGTTTTTGTACTTAAAACTTTTACTAATATAATTAATTTTTCAAAAATGAATGCATAACGATGTTTTGTTTTTTGATCATCATGCGCTTTTATTTGAAATTCTCCATCTAATTTTAAATGCCCATATTGTGGTAAATCATTACCATGTGGTAATTGTAAATCTACTATACTGTCCTAAAATCGAAAATTTTAAATATTTGTAAATTATTTTTATTAATTAAAATTGCCAAAATTTTTACCTTAACTTTTTGTATAATAGCTAAATGCTCTGAATCACGTTTAACTTCATTAATATATTGAGCAACATCAACCATTGCTTCTTTGGCTCTTTCTAAACCTCTAAAATCATCATGTACCTAAAAGATGAATAATATTAATTAAATTGAAAAACATGTGTAGTAAAAATAAATTTTATAAAATTGTTAAAATTCTTACTGGTGATGTTTCTTTAACTAATTTATCTAATAATAAATGATATTTGAGAATTCTCTGCATTGGCACTGATAATATATCCCTTAATTGTAATTTTCCAACATTATATTCTTTTTCACATTGCTATTTATAAAAAACAAGTAAAGAATTAAAATTAAAAAAAGAATTAGATTTTAATTCAATTAACAAGGAATACAAAATAAATTTGATCTTGACATGCAATACTATCAATTTTCGAAATTCTTACCATGACCAATTGTTCAAATAGACTATTACATTTACATATATCACACAACGTATCAATTGCATTTGTAACATTCGAACAATATTCTCCATAAATTAAAAACGGTTCACGAAATTCTAAAAATACTTGACTTAGTTTAAGTTTTGTATTTGGTAAAATAGCTTCACGTAATTTTTCCAAAAATTTTGTATGAATTGCTGATAATTCCTAAAATATTTATTAAAGATTAAGTAATATTGTATAAAAATTTAAGGAAATTATTTCAATTATTAAAAACAATAAAATAAAACTTACTGATATCCTTGGAAAAATAATTTTTATTTCTTCTTTTGTTAACATTTTCTCCATTGGCTGCATAAACTTATCCCGTAATGCATTTAATACATCCAAATAATTAGATTCTGTATCGACTAGTTCCCGTATAACATAATCTCTTTGCTCAAAACTAGCACTTGAAGATGTTAACTAAATATTTTTAAAAGAAAAATTAATAAAGTATTAAATTTAGTTTTAGTTTATATTTATTTAATAATATTCTACATCTACTTTCTTTATATTTTGATAAGCTACATAATTTTAATAAATATTATGTATAAAATATCATGCAATACTTACATTAAATTTAACAACATGAATTTTATACAAAAATGTCTGTTAATATGATTGCGTTTGCGTTCACTTGACTAATACGTTAAAATTTATCGCAGCGCTTAATAGAAGCGCGACAATAGTTTTAAAACGCTCAAATTAACTAAATGCAATCAATATTTTATTTTCTTCATTTATAGATACCTGATTTCTACTGGCTCTTTGTATTGCACATAAATCTTGATACACTTCCTCTTCTTTTGTATCAAGATCTTCAGCATGACCGTTAACATGACTATGATCCGAAGTTCTACACAAATGGTAGAATTATTTTGTTTTTGTTGAGCAAAATATCCAAAATAAGTTTCAGAATATGTAGATAAAACAAACATAAAAGAGAAAGAAAATATAAAATAAAAAATAAATTAAAAATAACAAAGAAAAAAAAATTAATTTTGAAAATATAATTTTTCATGCTATAAAATAAAAAATTTTTTATTTGTCAAAATTAAATTTTAATAAAACTTTATTTAATTCAGGCACATCAATTATTTTTTTCAATACTTTTAATTTACTGGCAACGATTAATTATAAATTTTCTAAATGTTATTTTAAAATTGTAGTTAATATAATTTTTGATTGAGGTTATCTTTATTAACCCAATTACATACTTAACAAATCACAACTTAATATCGTTTCAAATATACATGATAAATTTTTGACGCAATTTCCTTATTTTCTAGCATTAATTATCTAAGAATAATAAATAGAGAAAACTCAATATCTTACTGTTTGAAAAGCACTGTTATGAAAGATTCAATTAATATTGGAGAAGCAACAAGTACAATTAGGTAGTATGGTGTTTAGTTCTATTGTATACACACTTAAATTTACTATTTTTACTTGTTGCCAAAATATTTTATAGGAATACTAGCATTCATTCATAACATAACCACACAACCACATTTTGCGCTTTCTGGTTTTTAACTTAACTAAAATGTTACCAACAAAAAAAAAAAACCAAACATTTTCCATAGTTTGTTTACTTTTTCATTCATAATTATTATTTAACATCCAAAACCAAAAACAAAAAAGGGAAACAAAATAATATGTAATATGGAGTGATGACAAAACACGTGACTCCAAAATGAAATGACAAATAACGAATTATTCATTCACAATTCAATTTTATTTAATTTTGTTTATTCACAATTCAAAATTTGAAATAATAATTTTGTTTGTATTTTACTTCCTGTAAAGGAAAAAAATTTCGAAAAATGATAAGAAAAATTTGAAAAAGTCAATAGTATTTTTAAATAATAAAAAAATGTTTGAATCTTAAATAAGTACATAAAATCACAATTCCAGGAAATATTTAGCGCAAATTACAAACTTTGTTTTTGAATTTCCAAAGTTGGTACTTTTTACGGATATTTCCTAAAACAGAAATATTTGTTCAGAAGAATTTCAAAATAATTTCAAAATTTGTCATTTCAATATACTTTTTAACTTAATTTTTGTATTTAATTATCTTTTTTGAAATTTTAATATAATTAATTTTTAAATTCAGATTATTTAATTTGAAATTCTTATTCTAGTTCAAATTAATTCAAAATAAAAATTTCCTTAAACATTCATATTTTTTTCCACGTTCCACGTTTTTTAAATTCCTATTGTGAACTACTACACCTACAATTGTGAATATATCATTTGGAAAAATATTATTTTGAGCAACATTTTCCTATAAAACTGTCATGCAAGATAGAGAGAGAAAAAAAATGAGAACTTTTCAAACGAAAAACATTATAAGCATATTCAGCGATATGATATACATACATGTGTTTTGTTGTTTTCTAGTTATATGCTTATATGTAGCTGAAAAAAAAAAACATTTGATATTTTAGAAACGTCATATTCTCTTTAGAACGTGACGTTTCTTTTTAGAATATTTTTACTTCTCATATTGTGCGCATGGTGTACCTAAAATTTGGAGGACTGGAAAGAAATTTCTTGAAATTTATATAAAAAAAAACATATTTAATTACAAATATAATTGATAATAATTAAAAAAATCAAATTAAAAAATATTACGAGCTACTTTTTCAATAAATTTTGAAATCGCGAAATTTATAATTTCATCAAGATGGAAATGCATTCATATGCAAAAACAAGAACTAATAAAAAATGTAAGTATTAAAATTTAAAATTTAATATTTAATTTTATGATTGTTTTTGTAAATTTGCAAATATGACACGATATTGAAATTTATTTGAAAAACTTCTTTACTTCACAATTGTTCTTATATTTTACGGGCATAACAAGAAAAAATAATTATTGATTGTAACCAACTGCTGCTAGTATTTTGTGATTTGTTTTAAAACCATTAAGGTATACAAAATATTATGTACAATAGGAATACCTGCGGAAATAATAGTTTCAAAATAGTTGATTTAGATAGATAAACGGCTATTTGCATTGAATTTACCAATGCACTTTGGTCACGAGCAATTAAAATTTAAAAAAAATCTAAATTAGGGCACCATGTGTTCTCAAATTTTTGTTGTTCTATATTTTGACATTTCTTTTTTCAATATTTTTTTTAGAACATGCTTATATATTTATATTTTATACTTATTTCTAGGGTCCTTAGAACATAAAAGAAAATTAGTGGATAATCGAATAACATTGGATGTATTATTCAACAAAAAAGCTTTCAATTTAGCGGATTCCTGGAGGTGATACGAAATTTAATAATAAAAACAATACTTTTAATGAAAACAATTTATGAATTTTATTTGTTTGCCTATTAAATATCAATACTCAACCTACATGAATAATTAAAAATTATTTATATTTTAGAAAGCTAACGAAAGTATCTGATATGGAATCATTTGATGTATTATTTGTTAGAAAACAATGGACAAATATTTTAACAAAATATAAAGTAATTGGAAAAAAAACATGATCAGTTCTGAAAATTTGTAAATTGTTTTAAATTTTTATCTCCTTTCTAGAACCTAGTTCAAAGACATGCAATCAATAATTATATTGATAATGAAACTTTAGATTTACTAACAGCTGAATGGGAATTTTTTGATAAAATTCATCGTTGGATTAAAGTTAAAGAAAAAATTCAAAAAGATTATAAAAGTATTATACTTGAAGAAATTGAAAATGAAACATTAAATCAATCAATAACTGGAGGAGAAATTATCACCACCAATAATCATTCACGTTATGTATCACAAAATCAACAACAATTATCAAATTCAAGGGATTCTTCTGAAAATGATGAACCAATGGTAACATTAAATGTTGCTGTACCATCATCATCATCATCTATATCAAATGTTAATTCAAGTAATGATTTAATAACATCTAATAAAAAAAATTTAAATATAAATGATGAGCAACTTAACAAAAATATAATAAAATCACCACAACAATTATTAATTGATGTTGATGATCTACAATTACAACAGCAACAACAACCAGTTATTAAATCGACAAGAGTATCAATATTAGAACCCGGTCCTTCTACATTAACATCACCACCAACATCATCATCAATTAAAACCAAAGAAAAATCTCAAAAAAGAAAACCATCTTTATCAGATATATCAAGTAGAATAAATTTAATAAATAAAAATAAAAGAAAATATCGTAAACTTAAAAAAAAATTAAAACGTTTAAAACGTAATTATTCTAGTCATAAATTATCAGCAAATCGTTTATCTAAAAAATTGAATGTATTTTGTGAAATATTTGCCAAAGTTATTAAACAAGAATATCCCAATATTAATGTTTCAAATTTAATTGATAACGAAGAATATGATTCTAGTAGTTATGATAGCAGTGATACTGATTAACATCAGAATAATTGAAAAGTTTACCTAAAAAAAAAATCAAACGAAAGAATCTAGTAAAATATCTAAATTATGTTTTTAGTTATTTGGAACATACGTTTAGTACGTTTTAATATTCAAAAATATTAAATGCATCTGAGTTCAAAACATTTTTAATTAATTTTAATGTCAAATTATTATTACTATATATTAAAATGTATTAATTTGTTAATATGTTCATATTATATGTATTTGTCAGGACAAACAATAAATACACAATATAAAATTATCTGAAAATATTTAATTTTCATTTCAATTTAAAAATATAATTTTTAACTTAAGGAATGTAATGAAATTTCATAAAAAAAATTTTGAATTTTACAAATTTTTTATTGAAATACATTTTTTTTTGTTAAGCAATAATAAATTTACAAACTTAAATAAATTATTTCAGACTACAATATAACCAAAGTGCATTTGGAAGAAATTTAAAAATTTTCATAATATGCACATTTAAACCGAATGAGGTATTACAAATTATTTGATTTTAAATGTATGTCTTAGAATTTCTTATTTAAGAAATTTATTAAAGTACGAGTATTAACATGCTCAATGAAAATTATTCCAAAAATCTAAATTTTTATCATATATAAAAAAATCTTTTATGTATTCATTATTTAATTTTTTGTTTTACACTTTTAAAATTTAATTTTTATTAAATCGTCTTGGCATTTTAAATTGAGAAATAAATATTACGTAAAAAATATTACATAAATAAATAATATGTAATAATATATTGTTATATAATGGGTATATCATATTACAAAAATATAAAACAATAAATCCCAAACACGTAATTGTTTAATTTATAACAATAATATGAATAAGTTTACTACTCGTATTTATGGAAAAATGTCCTTAAAAAGAAATTTTTTTTTTTTCTATTTTCTTTTATTGAAAATAAATGTACATATATACACACATAATAAATAAAATTCAATTTATATTGAGAAGATCTTAACTTAAAGGTCATATAAGTTTTTTTTTTCTTTGTAAAATTTTTTTTCTTATTTTATATGAGTTAAAAAAGAACAATACATTTGATATGTATAAGAGAATAGGAAATTTATAAAAATAAAATAGTAATTTATACAAGTTTTTTCCTTTATTATCATTATTATTATAATTTGAATAAAGTCATATGAAAACTTAGATAATACTAGATGAAAATAAATTAAATTGAATTCGAATAATATTCTTTTATATACGAATATAAGGTTATTGTTATTTACAACACTTGATTCTGATACGTAGTATTTTTTGAAATTTCTTTATAAATTGCGTATTTTATCATTTTTGAAGAATGTTACAATAAAATATTAAATTTTTCTTTTAAGGATAGTTGATATTTGATCAAGTATATCAAGTTAAATAATAATTTTTCCAGACCTTTAATACAATTACTTAACTATCAATTTATATGTATGTATTACTAGAATAAATCACCAGAATTTTAAAATAAATAAATAAGTAAGTGTAAGGTATTAAAGTTTTATTGAACTACATATATTGCATATGTTATACATTATACTTATTTAAAATGCGAAATTTATGTAAAATAGAAGATTTTTTCAAAATTTATAATTACTTTAAAACTTTTATTATTATTGTTATTAAAAATATATTAACTTTTTAGGATGGCGAATAATCATCTTTTTAAAGAATTTCAACATAACATTATTATTGTACACCCGCGAGATATGGCTGATCATTTAAACAAAATTGTAATTTGGATAAATTCCAAATAATGATAAAATTGAAATTTTATGAAAGTATTGGTCTTTTTATGAAAGTATTTTATGAAAGTATTGGAAATTTTATGAAATGATCACAATAATTGAGACTATTACTATTTTAAAAATACATTTCCTATTCATTTGAAATGGAAATTTTTTATATTAAACACCTTAGGGGTTAGACCATAATTAAAATTTTTGCTATCTTTTTTTTTTTTTTGTAAAAATACACCTAAGACTTTAGACAATAATAGGTATTAAACGTATTAATAATATATTTTACATTTAATTTGTATTATAATTAATTATCCATTTAAGCATTTTTTTTTTTCAAATATTTACAATATCACGATGATTTTACAAGATTTTCAGAACCAGATGAATAATAGTATAGAAAAAGGATAATAAATATTAAATGTAAAACAGTACAATTTAATTCGTTCAATTTGCCTTTGCATAAAAGAAAATGTTATTTATCATATTTTTTTAAATTTAATAAAATTTTTGAATTTAGAAACAAAACAGATATAAGTCTATATTAAACAATTTGGAATATTATGATTATAATCTCAAATATTTCAGTTTCCATTAAGACTTCTAAATTTAAATCTTTTAAAATCGTATAGCAGAAATAAAAATCAGAAATTTTAAATTTTATTTCTCTATTTAATTCTTAAATAAATCAAAATAAAAATTTTTAATACAAAAACAATAAATTACTTTCATACTTACCTATTTTAGAAATTATGAATAATTTGAAAATTCGATTACGATTTAAAATATGAATTTGTAAAAAAACAAAGGCTCATGCAATAAATAAATAAATAATTAACACAATTATGTTTTAAAGTGAACCAATATTTTGTATACAAAAAAATTTTATTATTTCATTTTTTTTTTTTTGGAATCAATTTAAATTCTAAAGAAAATATATCAGATTACAAACAAGTCTAATAATTATATAAGCTTAAAAAAATAAGAAAACCGAATTTTCATGGAAAACAAATTATTGATAAATAAGATTTCCTTCTCATTTTTATTTACAAACAAAATTTAAGTATAGAATAATGAATTTTCTTTAAAAAATTTTTATTAAATGCACACGTGTTTTTACGTAAATAATTTGAAAAAAAGAAAAACGAAAAATTTGTCTACACTTTTGTTTTTAATTTCTAAAAAATTAAAAATCAATATTTTATTAAAAAATGAAATTAAAATGAAAAATTTTATAAAATATACACGAGTTTTTGTTTTCTTATTAGAAATCTTAGTTAAATATACAAAATATGTGTATGAAATATTAAATTAAATATTAATTTTTGACAGAAAATTGGAATTTGTATTGTGAACTTTGTCAGAATAAACTTGTTTGTTAAATAAAAGTGACTGTTATGTGACAATTCACAGTCACATGAAAGTGACTCTTATCTGACAATTAGGCTTATTCTTAGAATCGATTTAGAAAATGATTGCGATATTTACACAGAAAAAATTTGATACTATTGCTGCCAATACAAAAAAAAAAATTTAGACAAAAAATTTCTGTTTACAATATGCATTTTAAAATTTTTAGTGATAAATATCGCTATCAATTGGAGAAATCTCGGAATTAGCTCTGATATTTAATTTAGTTCGATTTTAAATTATAATTATATAACAATTTAATTAATGAATTTAATAATATATTATCACAATTTTAGATTTTTTAAACTAAATGTAACTTATTGCAAAATCTCAACTACGAAGTAGAAGGCATATAAATTAAAAATCTGAAATTTTATTCTGTAACAAAATAAAACTGCAAAAAGGCCATTCATTGAATGCTTTATATAAAAGGCTATTCACATATTACGCAACACTAAAGGGACTAGGCATTCAACAATTTCTTATTATTCACTTTAAAAATAATACCAAAAATTGCGTTACGTAACATGTTAACAGCCCTTTCATAACACATAAAACTATTATATAAAAAAATATACTCTATTTATACTTCTTCAAAAAAAAAAAAAAACAAATAGAGCAAAAACAAGAAAACAAAACAATTGAACTGCAAGCAGATTAAAAATTCTTAAGAATCGGAAGAAAAGCAAAAGGAAAAAAAGAAGATTACTTAAATAAATAAAAAAAAAAATAAAAATAAAACAATTTTTTTTTTTTTTTTTGTTTAAAACAGGATGTAAACCAACCATCTACTTTCAAATATATTTATTTATCTTTCTAAGTACAAGCATCCGTCAAATAACACGGTTATTTTGTTTCTTTCTCTTGAACAATGAAATTACATAAATGAGATTAAGAGTTTAATATAATTCTTTGCATAGTCTCCTTTAATTACGAAAATTTGTTAGATTATTAGATCCAAGAACATTTTTGAAGATCAATTACAATAATCTATATTTTTTCAGAATTGAAATGAAATTTGATCTTGCTCGGAAACTTGACTTTATTTGAAAAAGCGTGAAAGAGGTCGAGTCAAGACTCGACTTTATACGAAATTCGGAAAAAATTCCTAAAATTCGTAATATAATTCCTAAAATTCAAATATTAATTTTAGACGCTAGAATTGCAAAATTTTATAATTTTCATATAAAATTAAAATTAATAACGTTTACAGCTTTCCATTTCTAACTTAAAAACTAAATATTTCGAAAAAAAACTTTCACTCTTTTGTGTAGTCCGAATACCGTGATATTTGACAGATGCCTGTATATACAATACGCATACAAACATATTAATAATATATTGTAATATTTATATTTCTTAACATTACACATTTTAATGTTTACAAAATTAAAAAATTTCAATATACATATACAATATTTATATTTGTATAACATATAAATTTACTCTCATGTAACATACTACATAATTAATATAGCATATTGTTGAATTATTATTCTACAACAAAAAAAAAAAAAAAAAATAAACGAAAAACGAAAACAAAAATTTATAACATTTAATAATAACCTCGGGTAAATTTGATGAAAACGTGACATAACATAAATCTTCGTAGATACGTTTCTCTTCTTCAAAATCAATATCATTTAAATAATCTGATGTATCCGAATGTGACATAATACCCCATTGTGCAGCAGCAACAGCTAAACTATTATTATTATCAATAATATTTTGTTGTTCAAATGTTAATTTATTTTCTAAACAACAATTTTTAATTGTATCTGATAATTGTTTTGTTGCAATTATTTTATTATTTGTTTGTATTGTATTTGTTATTGTTGTTGTTGTTGGTGTTGTTGATGATATTGTTGTTGTTATTATTGTTGTTGTTGTTGCTAATAAATTTATTGTTGAACCTAATGATGTTGAACTTTTTAATAAAAATTTTTTATTATTTTTTTTTATTATATTTAAATTATTATTATCATTTTTTTCATTATTAATATCATTATCATCATTCTTATCACTTTTTAATTTTTCATCAATTTCATCATAATTATTATCACCTTGATGATGATGATGATGATGATGACGATGATGATTATGATGACCATTTATTGTTGTTGTTGTTACTGATGTATCTGATGATGATTTATCATTAATTATAATATCACTATTTTCATCATCATTATTTATTATTAATTGATTATTAGCACCATTTGTATTATCATCAATTATATCATTATTAATACAATTATCACTATCATTTAATTCGATATTATTACAACTACTACTGCTACAACAATTAATATCATTATCTTTTATTTTATTATTATCAATATTTTCTTTATCATCTTGATTTTTATTATTATCATTATCACCATCATCATCTTCGTCCTCTTCAATGCTACTAGCTGAATCATTATTAGTAGGCTTTTTACTCCTTTTCTCTCTATCATCACTACATATTTTTTTTTGTGTTTTAATTAATTCGATGTATATAAATTGTTATACATATTTTGTTTTATTACACAATATATTAAATTTTATTATTGTTCAATTTTTTTTTTTACCAATTACAAATAATTCGAATAGAAAACAAAACAAAACAAAAAAAAAGACAAGAATATTTATTTTATATTAATTTATTTATTTACATTGTAAAATAAATAAAAAAAACATAATTATTACGTAAGTACCTACATGTCAAAAAATGGATTGTAAGTAGCTTGTTTATGTGTCAATTTAATGAAACGAAACAATTTTAATGAGTACAAATAATATTTTTTTATAAAGTAATCAATTAATTATTTTCAATTACTTTTATATAATTTTTTTTATTACTTTATTTATATATGTATAGTTAATGTCATAATACAAGACTAAAACAAATATTCATAAAACAGTAAAAATCCATAATAATAATGAAAACAAAAAAAAAAAACACAAAATATGAAAAAAACAAAAAGAAATAAATTGAAAATTGTATACAAAAATAGAAACCAGTTATCTAAATATCACAAGTTACAAGAGTATTAAAAATATTAATTAAAATATAGTGTTGCCGTAGCATAACAATTTTATGACATTTCAATTATGACATACAGGAATAGGGGAATTGATCCAATAAGTAACCGTGTTGTTGAAAATTAATTTCTAATTTTTCTAGTAAAAAGTACTTGTTTCATAAAAAGTGCCATGAAAGTATTTTTTAAAAATTAATTCCTGACATAGCAGTACTTTTGAAAATCGAATATGCATTGCCAATTTGTCATGCAAGAAACATGAAAAAAAAAGGGAATTTGTAATTCCTTTGGCGTCAGCCATGACTATTTTTTAAAAAAAGCTTTTTCCTAAGAACATTTCTGATTTTAAAATAGTACGGCCACTTCAAATTTTTTCTCAGTACATGACGTAAAAAAAATTTTTTTTTTTTGGGTTTCCTTAGAATTGTCAACACAGTATTGAATTTTCAAAAATACATTAGCCAAAAAAATAAAATTAATCTTAAATCAGAATTGCAAATTTTACAAAAAAATTCTTTCATATATACATGAAAAATTTTGGTAAAATTAGAATAATGAACTCATCGGTGCCTATGAATATTTCAACTGAATTTTTTGTAGGCCTAAAAGCCTACATTTAAAAGCAAATTTTTTCTGATTTGTCAACCTAATCGTAATAATAACACAACTGAAAAATAATAGTCAAAATACTCTTGCTCTTCTGGATCAAATTTGTTAAATCTTTTAAAAATTCAATTACAAACAAAAATTTTCCATCTCCTCTGGTAACATTCTAATAAATTTAATTCCAGAATTGTTTAGTTTACTATTACAACAAAGAACTATTCCGAAATTAGCATGCTACATTTAAATTTTTTATTTTTTTTTTTTAAATTTATAATTGGCACTATATGTTGTAGAGAATCTACAATTATTATTTCTTCTTCATTCTTTTATATGAAATGTATACAAAATTTAAATTGACAATGAACAATTAATTCATAGGAAAAATATTCGTAATATTTATGAATTGCAATATTTCATAAAAAATATAAAAAAAAAAAAAGAGAAAATATTCTGATTTCAATGTTAATTTTATTCAAAACTAAAAAGTTTTTATTAAACTTTCTCTTTAGAAAATTATTCTGAATAAATTATAGAATCATTTGTTTTAAATGATTTTTAATTTGTTTTAACTATTTTTAGATTTTGATTTGTAATATTTTCTTGATTCGATTGATTTCTTTTTTGATTGATGATAAAGAAATTTATTAAAACTTCGAAACAACTATACTGAGTATACAATTGAAACGTTTATAAATTGCTTGCGGTATGCATAATATAGCAATTTAGAATTTGTATACTTGCATTATTAAGAGAAAATTGGAAAAGCAAATTGGACCTAACTTTAAAATATGAATATTAGTTTTGCACAAAAAAATTCTCTTATTAATTAATTATTAAGAAACTATGCAATAAACGCAATCGAAAAATATTTCCTTCTATTAGAAAATCTGAAAAATTCAAGCTTTTATTATACAGAGCGCTTCTGAATCCAAAATTTATAAAAATTTTCATTAGCATATTCTATAAAAAAAAAAAGAGTTGTTCTGGTACATCCTGGTGAACTCAGACTGAAATAGTGTTACTCTATATTCTCTGTATTATATATTAAGCGAACACGAAGATGCCAAACAAATCAGAAGTAAAGTTCGAATGATATTATTGAGAATTTGAAATATGCGGTATGATTTCGAACATGAAAGAGAATTCAAATTCACATGTAACCAATAATAAAATCAAAATAGATAAATAATCAATAATAATTAGTAAAAATCTATACAATTTATTCAAGAATAAAAAAAAATACGAGTATCATTTAAAAATTAAAGTTAAATGTGTTTCAAACATGTATGAAAGCGTGTTTACGACAACACCGGTATGAACAACGTATAATATGAAAAAAAAAATCTACAAATTAACTAAAATTTGTTAAAAACCTATTAGAACCTATGAGAATTATTAAAAAAAAATATATATATTTTTACATTGTTAAAACTTATGGTTCCAGAAAATTTCAGAAAATCCAGATTTTTGTATGTCAAACCTTAAGTATTCGACTAACAAACAAAAACGAAAGAAACAATAAATTTTAAACACAAAATTTTTAAGAAATTCAAAAAAAAAATTTTTCAAGAATATTTAAAGTTTTTTTCTTTCCCTAACATTTTTTATCAGCCTCATAAAATATTTCAAAGTTTTACAAACTTCATTCCGTTATCTTGCACCAAAGTTCACAGAAAATAAAAAAAGAAGTTTTTCGAAAAAAAAAATCTTTTAAAGAATTCAAATTTTTTTCCAAGTTTTTCACTCGACAGCATAAAAATTATAAAGAATTGAAAAAGAAATAATTCAAGGCTAAAAAACAATACTCTCTCCTAAAAATATGCAAATTTTTCATTTTTATCATAATTTATGGAACATAATGCAAGCTAATAATGATTTAAAAAAAAAAAATAGAAAAATTTTACCGTAATATTTAAATGGTTGTCACTCCTGCAGGGAGTGGTATTAAAACAAAAAAAAAAAAATAAAAATTAAAAATATTTTACACCAACAGACAGGAATTAAAATTTATGGTCAAATAATTAAAATACGTTTTTTTTATTTATGTAGACGGTCGTATACTTTTAACACGGAAAGAGACCAACAAAAAAAAAATTAATATTTTTCACCTAATCGTGAGCATTAAAGTTTTCATGTCTTTTTTTTTTATTTCATATTTATTACAATTTTTCTATGGAGAATTCTAATAGCTAGCTATTCTAAATAAATACTATAATTATGTAAATATAGATCGTATTAAAAACAGTAACAATTTTTAATTAGACAAGTTTATAACAAAACAAATTCTAGAAGAAAAATTTAATTTCTCTATGAATCTCAGTTTTATTAAATGAAAAATATTATATTTTTAACCTTTTCAACCATATCAATTAACATGAAACCGAATTAGAATGACAAATACCAAAATCCCTATAAATATGCAATTTAATTTTTTCTACATTCTACTTAATTCCTAACATATTTAAACATTTTTTTTGCAATAATATTGCTTAAACACGTTTATATTAAATTTTAGACCAACAAGAAATAAAATTTAAATAAGTTTAAAGAGAAAACATTCACATTTTATGAAAATATTATTTTTTAATTAATTAAATTTTATATTTTTTTGTTTATTCTACATATTTCTAATGAAAATAAATTTTGTTATTCTTCAAAACTACCAAAAAATTTTATATATTTAAAAAAAAAATATATTTTTTAAAAGTTACTGAAAAATATAGGAATTTTCTAATGAGAATATAAAACAAAATCCTATAAGTATGCAATAAAAATTTTTTTTTTTTAGTTTTAGTAGCTAATATATCAGCTGGCCTTTAAACTAAGAAACACGAAAATTTAATAACTTTAATGTTTACTCTTAAAATTCTTTCTAAAATATTTAATATTTTTTTGCAAAAATTTTTCTATTCCATTACTTCTTGAACTGGTCTTTAAAAATAAAATGCTGAACAACCCATATAACTTTTAATAGAACTTAAAAAACCATTTAATCTTGAATAATTTTTTGCATGTAAATTTTCCTCCTTATCGCAATATATAGAATTCCTTTTGGATTTAAATAAAATAATAGGAAAATAATGAAAAATTTTTAATAAATTTTTTTATTTATTTATTCATTGTCCATTATAATGTACGTAATATACGCATAATAGCATAAAACAAACCTTGACTAGCAACAAATACACTTGAAAACAATAAAATTATGTAAAACTATGGAAATAACGAGGTCATCCCTAGATCATATAGTTTTTATAGGGGAATTACACTAAAAATTAAAGAAAAAAGAAAACAAGAGCCTTCTTGTTGAATTTCTCAATTGTTCTATTCATTAATGTTGTGCATATACCTACTGTACTATAAAATTTAATTATCCTTTTTCCTATGAAATTTAAAAAAAAATGTACAAAAAATAAGAAAAAACTATTTTTTTTTATAAAAACTATTTAAATTCTCTTATCTCTTTTTTTTTTTGTATGAAAATGTGAAAGGAGAAAAAAAAAATATTTTTTTAATTTTTCATAACCACTAAAACTTTTTTTAAAACGCTTATTATAATAAACATTCATTTTCGAAAAGAAAAAAATCCAAAACAAAAGAATTGTTCACTTAACAGTCAACCATTTTTTTGTCATATTTTTTTATTCATATATAAAATTTATATTGTACTTATACTCGTACATTCAAATTGGAGAAGCAAACATAATAAAGTAGAGCAAAATTTTTGCTCATAAAATAGCACATTTCAATTTAAGACAAAAACAATTATAACACAAAAATTGTCTAAAACAAATTCAATTGTTCTTAATTTCATTTCGAATTCGGATTC